GCAGCACGGCTTGCACAGTCTGCTGCAGGGCGGGAGGCGGGCCCGGAGGGGCGGGGGCCTGAGGCGGGCCCAGGGGCAGGTGGTGGTGGTGCTCAAAGAGGAGGTCCAGGTGGAAGGTGAGCACCGACAATGGCTGCAGCAGGAGCAGCAGCTCTGTGGACAGGGAGGGACAGCTGCCCCGGGCCAGAGAGAAGAACCCTGTGGGCAGGTACAGGAGGGACAGCAGGCCTGGAAAAGAGCAGGTCAACATCAGCTCCTGCCCTGGGTCTAGACCCAGAGGACCCCTCCACCCCTGCCCCCACATCAGCACACCAGGGCCTAGTTGGCAAACACCCTCCTAGGCCTCACTCTGTGCTGGGCTCCAGGGCAGGGAAGGAGAGGGACACTTCCCTGCCTGTGTGGAACCTGGCCTAGAGAGGAAGACGCATGTAGAGCAGATAGATAGTGACAGATAACTGAGGAACAGTGTAGGGGCTAGAAAGGAGGACAGGAGAGCCACAGGAGTGCTCAAAAAACAGGGCTTAGGAGGTCGGCCTCGGCCTCACTGAGGAAGCTCAAAGGCTGAAGGCAAGTCAGTGAGGAAGAGGAGGAGCAGGGAGGCCTGTCCTAGGTGGAGGAATTGCATAGGCATGGCCCTGGGGCAAAAAGGACCAGACTGTTGACAAGACCAGTGAAAGCCTGAACCTGGGGGGCAGAGGCCAAAGGTTTTGGGTCTTCCTAGGGGCAGCGAGAGATTCCTTGGAAGAGTGTTAAGCACAAGAGGAATAAGATGGGAGATCTGGATCAATAACCACTCTGCCATCAGTGGGAACCAGCAGGAGAGATCCCCATCCTTCCCTTCCTCCCACCTGAGCCTCTGACCTGCATCTTCCTGGAGACTGGAAAACCACAGCTCCAACTGCTTAGTGCTGGGAAAGAAAGGAAAGAACAGAAGTTCAGGGTTGACAGATGAGACTGGGAGAGAGAAGTCCTTCTCTGGGGACATGGGGCACTACTTCCGTGTCCCCACCCATGATGGCGCTGCGCTCCCCAGGTCATGGGAGGGGCAGTGGGAAGGCCACTCACTTGAGGAGGCCCAGGATAAAGGCATGGAAGCGGCTACGGCTGCTGCTGAGCGGGGCCAGCCGGCTGACCTGGCTATACAGGGTTCCGAGGGAGCGGGTGCTGGAGCCTGAGGACAGGGGGTGCGGTCAGCCAGGCTCCGGCCCTGCCCCGATCAGGGCCCGGCCCTCCCCGCTCACCTGGCTTCACCGACGCCTCCACCACGCTCCAGGGGCTGCTCCTGCGCTGCCCGGTGATGAGGTCCTTCTGGAAGGGCTTCAGCCCATCCGCCACCAGGGCGTGGAGCGCCGGGCAGAGGGTGGTCAGCACCAGGTGCCCCACGTCCGGGCTCAGCCGGCTATCCCCCAACTGGGCCTGGAGGCGGCGCGACGCGGGTGTGTGCACAGATCCCCCAGCCACCTCCCACCAGCTGTTCCTGCGCCCTCAGAGCTACATTAACCTCCTCGTCCCCAACGTCCTCCCCCCGGCCACCTTCACCTTCTGAACCAAGTTCCGGGCGGCCCCGAAGTGCGAGATGATTTTGTCCACCGAGGCGCTGACGGCTATCAGGAGACCTGGGGCGGGAGGGGGGACGCCTCAGAGCCCCGCTCCCCCGGGCGCACCCTCCGACCCGGACTCACTGCTTCGTGCAGTTCGTTCAGAAGCCAGGAGCCAGCGTGTCCCACCTTTTTTCTGCTCCTGTAGCTGGCCAGTCCCACTCTGGGCTTCTGCCATCCACATCCGCTGGGCCCCGGGGACACCGGCGAACGACCAAGAACTACGGACTAGGGTAAGGAAAGAAACACGCGGTGACAAGGGGTTACTGCAAGGACTCCGGGCTCCCGCACAGGGCATCTCCTGCGGGTCCGCGGCGCCCCTGCCCCTGAAGGGTCTTGGAGAGGGGCGCGGGGCCGCGTGCAGCACCGGGAAGCTCGACCCGGGCTCCTCGCGAAATCCTACACACATTGCTGCACTTGCTGTCCCCCACCCCGGTCCCCATTTCCCTTCCTCGGGGCCCAGCTCCCACCTCCTAGATTCCGGAAGTCCCGGAGCGGGACCGCCTGGCTCACGTCCCGCCTGCCCCGCCGGGGCCTTTAGGGCAGGAGATGCCCGGGCCAGGGGAGGGAGGGGCAGCCCTGCGCCCCGCCCCGGGCCCGCGTCCGGCCAGCGGAGACCCGGGGAGCACGTGGGGAGCCTGGACCAATGGAAAGACAGACAGACGGAAAAGGGAGGAGAGACGGAGGGAGGCAAGACCCGAGGACTGGGAGGCTGGAAAGCGTCGGAAAGAGGAAACCTGGGTCCCACGCCCGCATCTCAGCGAAGGGAGCCCCCTTCACCCTACGTGGGGTGGGACTCCTGGGGATGGGAGTCGCCAGAACCTCTGGCGCCAGTGAGTTCCAGGGAGCTTCGCCCTCCATCCTTCCCGAGCAAGGTGGGGGTCAGGCCCGTACTGCGCTGGCCAAGGAATTCCACAGACGGTGTGACCCAAGGTCCCTAACAATGACTCGCTGGGGCCCTCTAGACTCAGCATGCTTAGCGGGGATGCTGGATAAGCCCGCGTCCACTGTGCCGCGGGAGAGCGGCCGGGTCACGCAGCGTGGAGAGCAACAGCGCCCGCCCCCCTGCACGGGGAGCAAGGCCAGGCTCCCTAGGACCAATGAACTTGCTCGGAATCTGCCGAAGTTGAATGGTGGGACCAAGCCGGTAACCCCGGAAAAAAGCTTAAACAGAGCTGGGCGAGGGTCCGAGGGGCCTTGGGGTGGGCGGGGAGGCCTCGCCCGGGGCGAGGCCCGCGGGGCTTGCCCGGTCCGTCTTACGTAGCCTGGGCGGAGGCGGTGGGCTCCTGATCCAGCGAGGGGCCTTCGGCGGACGAGGTGGCGGTGGCAGCGGGGGGGCGGGTACCTGGCGGGGTGGGGGAGCTGTGGCGGGGAAGGTGCTACTTCTGGGAAAGAGCGGGGACAGCAGCAGAGCCAGCTCGGGGCTGGCCAGGCAGGGCAGGGCTCCCCGAGTCGGAGGCGAATAGGCTCCCACCGGGGACAGGCGGACCGGCAGCAGCTGCTCCTCTGGGGGGCTTGGCGCCCCCAGCAGCCGCAGCCCGGCGCCCTGCCACGCAGCCAGCGGCGCCAGGAGCAGAGACCCAGCTGCGCCCGCACCCCCACCCTCCAACAGGGGGCGCCCGTCGGCCGAGAACCGGAAAAACAGAGGCCGAGGGAGCAGGAGGGGACCGGCTGCAGGCGGGATTGGCGGGGCCAGGCGCAGAGGGGAAGGAGGGCAGCGGGACGGGCAGCCAGGCAAGGAGAGGCGGGAGAAAGAGGGAGCAAAGAGTTAGTCCCGTAACCCAACGACCCACCCAGTTTCCCTTTCCCAGAGCGCTCCCTGGCAGAAGGGGCGGGGAGGATGGCTGACACAGAATGGAAGGGAGACAGGGACGGGGTTGGAAGCTTCGGAGGTGGGGGCGAGGCCGAAGCCCAGCCCTCCTCCTGCTTCTTGCTGCCTCTTACCCTCCAGACCAGCCTGCGCACTGGGTTCCTCCGGCTCCTTCGCTGCTGGCGCCTCCTGGCCAGCCGCGGGGCTGACCGCCCTGCCCTCCTCCGGCTGCCCCTCCGCTATAGGCTGCAGCCCAGGTCGGTTCTTCTTCCTCCGGGGAGGGATGGGTGGGGGTGGGGGCCGGGGCGGGACCAAAGCCCAGCCAGCTGGGGGGTCTCGAGGCGGGACTGGCGGGGGCGGGACCCGGCTTCGGGACCGCAGTTCTTTGAAGGTAGTGATTTCCCGGGCAGGTGCAGAGGAGCTGCCCAGCGACCCGGTCGGGGGCAGCTCCGTATCTGGCGAGAAGACTATGAGCCAGTCACTGCGATCTTTCTTGGCCTGGGGCAGGAGGGGCAGCCCCGGGCCCCGCTTGCGCTTCTGGGCCAGCTCGTGGAAGGATGTGATTGTCCGGTGGGGCACCGGCTCCTCGCTGACGTCACTTCTCCATCCCCCATCAATTTTCCCTGCATCTGTTTTTGAGCCAGAGTCATTTAGTCCTGTGTTGGTTTTCCAACCAGAGTTGAATTTTCCAGGTTCAGTTTTCCAGCTAGAGTTAGTATTTTCGTTGATTTTCCAACCAGAGTTATTGTTCTCAGTGATTTTCCATCCAGCGTCAGCTTTCTCTGTGTCAATTTTCCAAATGGGGTTAATTTTCCAACTGGGCTCCGTTTTCCCAGCATCGATTTTCCCATCATCCACCTCTAAGAGCTCGGAGGTAGGGAGGTCCTGCTCCCCACTCTCATCCTCTTCCTCCAGGCCTGGGGAAGGGAGGTCCTGGCAGGTGGTCAGGGCGTTGCAGTTCGAGTCCAGGCCAGGGCCAGGTGGGGAGGAAGCTCCGGAGCAGGAATCCGGAGAGCAGCAGAAGCTGTCCGGGGAGCAGGTGCCGGGGCCTGCGGAAGCCAGTGGGGAGCCCTGCTCCAGGGGGATGATACTGGGCTGAGGGTGGGCTTCCTCATCACCTGGGAGGTCCCGCGAGTAGACCGAGACTGGGGACTCATCAGGGCTAAGATCCGAGCAGGAGCTGAGAGAGGAGGAGCAGCCAGGGTCTGAGGGAGAGGCAGCCCCCTCCTCCTCCTGCGATGGGTCCTGCCGGTTTTCTAGGCCTGGCCCATGCTCCTGGCAGCATCGGCAGGGCACGGCTGGGCTGTTGGAATTGGCGTCCACCAGAGGCCCACTGCAGGGGCCCCTGCTCTCTTTGCCCCCAGTGTCTCCTGGGGGTGGGGGCGTGCTCAAGGGCCCCTCCCGTAGCTCGGGACGACGGGACAAGTGCAGGCCCAGGGAGACGTGCTGGAGGTGGATATGGTTGAGGTTGCAGAGTAAAGCCCTCTGAGGGGACAGCATGGTGCCAGCGGCGATGAGATGGCCTCTGAGAACCAGGAGGATCGGGCCTCTCACATCCACCTACCTGGCAACCACAGGTGCAGACCTAGAAGACAGAGGTGGTGAAACCCCACCAGTGAGGACGTGCTGCTGGAAGGACACAGAGGTGACTGAGGGCAGGAGCAGACCTGGGAAGGCTCTGGCTGCTTTGGGTGACATTTAAATAAGATGCAGATCACCATCAACTGGCCATTGGTTTCCACTGCAGTGTTTGCAGGTGAAATCCAATGTAACCCCCCACTCCCCAGGGAATGGAGCGGGGAGGGTCAGAGAATGCGGCTGAGCTCTGGATCTCTAAGAAGGGTGGGGGCCCAGAATAGGCAATCGGGCTCTGCCCTCCAGGCTACCCCTTACTCCCAGAGAAAGAGACTAACGGAGACCCCGCCCAGTTGCCCCAAAATGAGAGGGTGCAACACAAGGAGTTTGGCTGGTTAATGTAGGAAAGGGGCGGGGGCTGGAGGGGGAGAAGGATGGAGCAGCTGTCAGCATGTCAACTCCTCATCTGCAGGGTGCCCCGCGTTTCCGCCGGGCTCCAGCCTGTGCCCTCACCCCTTTGGAACAGCGGTGAGCCTGTCCATTCTCTCCGCATCCGTCTCCATCATTCAGCCTCCGCCCTACCCCTTCTCTATTCATTTTTACTGCTCCCCTGTCCTATCACCCGTGTGCCCTGGTTCATCCACCCCCACCCACCGGCAAGGCCCGCCTCACCAGGGTCCTCCTGGAACCGTTCCTGGCTTTAGGCTTGTCGGGAGACTCTCCGGTCCCGCCCGGCGGGCCACCGAGCAGAGGGGAGGGGCGCTAGGACAACACTCTCTGCGCTGCGCAGCCGCACCCCTCCACGCATGGGCGTGGCGTAGCTCAGACCCGCCCCCCTAGCGCTTGACGTCTTGCCGGTGTCACCCCTCTCAGACTGAATGTATCCTAAGCTTTTAGTCCCTGAGTTCCTGGCTTCCATGCAGCCACCCCACCCCCCATCTCGCCCATTCTGGAGCTCTCTGGCGGCTGGCTGTCTCGAACAATAACAGAACCACAAGGTTACACAATAATTTATTGAGAGCCTCCTCTCCCCATCCTTGCAGTGTAGGTCACTTCTTCCGCTTGTAGATTTTGCGTGCTAGCTCCAAGAAGATGGCCCGGGGAAGGGGTGCAGCGTACTGCTCGATGAGACTCATGAGGTGGCTGTAACTGTCTTCCTCATACTGCAGGAACACAGCCTGCAGATCCAGCTCCTCGTATAGTGCCTTCACCCGGGCCACCTTCTCCGCCTCCTTCTGCCCGTAATTCTCCTGAAAAGGGTTGGAGGGAGAAAAATGGGCTTAGCCTTCTCCAGAGCCTCCAGGACCCCTCCCCACTCCCCTTTCACATGCTCCAGAACATCTCTAAGGCCATTCTTCATTCCTGCCTCAAGTGTCTCTAGGTATCTGAGATGCCATGTTTCCCCTTCCCCATCCCAAACGTTCAGATATTGGCTCAGTCCTCAGCTTCCTCTACTCCAGGGTTTCTAACCTTAGCACTACTGAAACTTTGGGCCAGATAATTCTTGGTTTGCGAGAGCATCTTTGGCCTCTACCCCTCGATGCCTGTAGCACGTGCATAAACCCCACGGTTGTAATGACAAAAAAACCTTTGCTGATATTGTCAAATTTCCCCTGAGGGGCAAAATAGCCCTCATTGGAGAACCACTGCTGTATCCCCTTATCAGCTCAGGGAACCACCACCTCTCTTAGGCACCTGCAAGATCTGGCGCTGTTCCGGAGTGGCGCGTTGTAGACACTGAACCACCAGCCAGCTGCATTTGTTGTCCTGGATGTCAGTGCCAACCTTGCCTGTCACACTCGGATCCCCAAAGAGGTCAAGGTAATCATCCTGAGCAGGGGGACAGAAAAGGAGGCATGACAAGGCTACCAGGCAGGGAAGGAGGAAAGCTGGTGACTGACTGTTCTCTGCTACTCCTCATGCCTTCTCACCTGAATCTGAAAGAACTCTCCCATCTCCAGCAGGATCTTCTTAGCGTTGGCATGCTCCTTCTCCCCATCAATGCCTGCCTACAGGGAAAAGGAGATTAATAAACCAAACCCCAGCGGTGCCCGCATCTTGCTGCCTGCTTCCTTGAATGGAGTCCTGCCCTACTGCAGCCCCTAAATCTTCTCTCCTTTCAGACATCCTCAGCTTCCCTGATCCAGGAAGTCCTGCCTGAGAGTCCAACCTCTACCCCACTCATTTTTAGCTAGGCCCAAGGAGAATCATAAAAGATAAGCCCCTTCTGGAGGTCCTCAGACTCTCTCTCTTCCCTCACAAGTCTCAGTCCCCGAGTCACTCTGATCCCTCTTCCTAATCTTTTTCTACCTCCAGCTTCTTTCAGGATGAAATTTGGAGAAGCAAGGTCAGGGTAGATAGTTAATCCCACAGTCTTTGATCCAGTCTTCTTTCTCTCAGCCTGAATTATCTCCTCCCCACCCCATCCATACTCAGATGTAGGATTTTTTGTCCCCCGTTACGGGCTAAGCACTGTCATATCCCTCACCTTGGTTAATCTCTACAGTCCTGTAAGGGAGGAATTTTATCCCCATCTTACAGCAGAGAAAACAGACTCAGAGACTGACTTGCTCAAGGTCATATGGCAATGGGGGGGAGGGTGCCAGATTGTCCAAGTTGTCTGCTCTGTACCTTCCTGTCCAAAAGCCCACATCCGCAGAGCAGTGAGGGGCAAGGAGGATGACTTACCATATACATGGCTGCAGCTACAGGAAGATAGAAGGAGTAGAAAGCTGTCTTGTACTTGACAATAGATTTGTACCTGAGTAGGGAGAGAAAATAAACTCCTCAGAAGGGCAAGGCCTACTCTCAGGCTGCCCTCACTGCCCAGACATGATTCCAACTGTCCCTTACCTCTTTTCAGTAAATCTGCCAAGTTCCACATTGCCCTGGGGGGCTGTGATAAGGTCCAGGGTCTGCCCGATCTCAGTCTGATATGAACTCTAAAGAAGAAGATGGCCCATGAGCCAGGCTTTCTCCAGATGTGGGGAACCCTGATACCCTGGGCCCCGCATCTCATACCAGTTGACAGCTGGGCAGAATCAGAAAAGCAACAGGAGGGAGAAAAGGCCTCAAAACTCAAGGCCCACATTCATGCATGCACAGTCCTTTCCACCCCTTCTTCCAATCACACAGGGACAGAGAAATCCTTCTTGCCACCACCACCCTTCACCCCTGCCTCACTTTTTTCTCCCTCCTAGGCAACCCTAGTATCTCCTGTGCCCTGAAACCAGCTAGATGAGAATGTGCTATAGAGGCCAAGGTTATGCGGACAACCTCTGGGGCCTGTGCCCCGGTCTGTAGCACACCTGCAGGAAGAGCTCGATCAGGTTCAGATAATAGGGCTGCTCCCGGCAATAGTGCTTCAGCAGGCGGTAGATACATGCTTCCAGAAGCAGAGCATCATTGACAGCATCCAAACCTATGCCTGGCTGTTGGGGGCATGGAGGAAACAAGCAATCAATCTCTGCCTTAGACTCATACCAAGAAGCATTACCCCAAATACCTCAAACAGGCTGTATGAAACCACCTCCCAGTGGCCTGTCCCCATACCCACTGCAATCTTCCCACCCACATTACCTTCTTTTTTTTTTTTGAGACAGAGTCTCACTTTGTTGCCCAGGCTAGAGTGAGTGCCATGGCGTCAGCCTAGCTCACAGCAACCTCAAACTGCTGGGCTCAAGCAGTCCCACTGCCTCAGCCTCCCCAGTAGCTGGGACTACAGGCATGCGCCACCATGCCCAGCTAATTTTTTTTTTCTATATATATTAGTTGGCCAATTAATTTCTTTCTATTTATAGTAGAGACAGGGTCTCACTCTAGCTCAGGCTGGTTTCGAACTCCTGACCTCGAGCAATCCACCCGCCTCGGCCTCCCAGACTGCTAGGATTACAGGCGTGAGCCACCGCCCGGCCCCACATTACCTTCTGATACCAGCAGAGCTGCCCCCGGCGGGTTAGGGATGAATCCATGATATCATCTGCTACCAGGAAGAACGCTTGCAGCTAGCAGAAAGAAGAATGGAATAAGACCTGCAGGGCTCCTTTGTTACTGTTCCCTCTATCAGCGACAGAGCTGCTGCTTCAGATAGTCACTATGAGCTGGAAAGGTCAGGATGGGGTGGTAGAGAACTTGGGAAGTGACATGACCTCTTTGGCTCAGACTCCCCATCTATAAAATGGGACTAAAATACTCTGTTTGGGGGGTAAGAGACTAAAACAGATCTCTGACATCTCTAATCAGCCCTAGATTATCCCTGGTATCAGGGAGATTATAAAACATCTTCATATACTCTATTCTTCTCTTATCAAAAACTTCAATGAACGCTTTAAGATTTCTTCATGCAACTTGACTTTACATGACTTCTTAAACAAAAGGAGGCTGTTCCTGTGTCACCCCCAGCCCTGTGATTAAACACTCCAGTGACCAGGAACACAGTCCTGGTTCCAAAGGAGATCCTTTGGGGGTACAGGTCTAATTGGACTGAAATCTGACTCCTGGTGACTTTTACCTAGGGGTCTTAAGTATCTTTAAACACTCTTATTCATCAGCAAAGGGCTACTCTTCTCACGGCCTATTTGAAGGAACGTGTTGGTTTCCCCACTAGCCCATGAATACCCTGGAGGCAGGGACAATACCCCACCTCCGCTTGTCATGGACCCACCTAGCAATTACCCCAGCAATGCTAAAAATCTGGGGTTTTGTGTGAAATCTCCTCTTTATTAAATTTAGGGGACTTGATTTTAAAACATTTTCAAAAAACTATTAGTGGTACTATCACATGGGCCATTAGGAAAAAAATTAAAAATTTAAATAAATTTTTTTAAAAAACTATTATTATACTGCCAGTTTTCAATCTCTGCTTCAGAATAACCTTTCAGGGCCAGGTACCGTGGTTCTTGCCTATAATCCTAGCACTCTGGGAGGCTGAGGCAGGAGGATAGCTGGAGCTCAGAGGTTCGACACCAGCCTGAGCTACAGTAAGACTTCGTCTCTACCAAAAAAGAAAAAAAAACAAAACTCAGCTGGGCATTGTGGCACCCACCTGTAGTCCCAGCTACAAGGGAGGCTGAGGCAGAAGGATTACTCACAGCCCAGGAGTTAAGAGTTTGTGGGGGAGGCCGGGCGCTGTGGCTCACGCCTGTAATCCTAGCTCTTGGGAGGCCGAGGCGGGCGGATTGCTCAAGGTCAGGAGTTCAAAACCAGCCTGAGCAAGAGTGAGACCCCGTCTCTACTATAAATAGAAAGAAATTAATTGGCCAACTGATATATATATAAAAAATTAGCCGGGCATGGTGGCACATGCCTGTAGTCCCAGCTACTCGGGAGGCTGAGGCAGGAGGATCGCTTGAGCCCAGGAGTTTGAGGTTGCTGTGAGCTAGGCTGACGCCACGGCACTCACTCTAGCCTGGACAACAAAGCGAGACTCTGTCTCAAAAAAAAAAAAAAAAAAAAAGGCAACAACAAAAAAAACACAAATAAATAAAGAATAACCTTTCAGAAGAAATGTATCACTTTTATGGCCGTCCTCTGCTTCGAGAAAAATTTTTAGCATTGCTTGGAAAATTGCAAGAGCTGGGTGGGTCCCTGTTCCCGTATAGCAACAACTGGCTGAAACCAAGTGGAGACAACTTCCCCAAACAGGGCACATGCTCTCCTATGTGTATCTTTCTCTGGTTTGCTCTAATCCTCACATCTCCTCATCTTCTATGCCCAGCTCATCTAGCTTTTGAAGGTATACAGTTTGCTGGCCTGGCCTACAGGCTTCATTGGTGGCAGGGGGTCTGGGTTCTGGGAGGGGTGCCAGACTTGATGAGGGTGGCAATGAGCCCAGAAGGGAAGAGTGTTCAGGACTTGGTCAATGACCG